TTTTTTTTTTTTTTTTTTTTTTTTTTTTTTTGCTTAGACTTTCCCCAGAAATCTGCCACCCATGACTGATAGGATGACTGGCGGAGATGAGGCAGAACCAGTAAGCTCCTTTTAGGAAAGAGTTTGACACTCATTTGAGGGTTGGAGAATAGCTAACACGAGAGTGATGTTAAGTTCAGTGTCCTGGCTGTGAAACCTGTGGAGTTACACAGCTTGCATTTGAATTTTTGCTAGAGCAAATTATGTGAAAGAATGAAATAAAAAATAGCTGTTTTAGCAGCTCTTATTTTTGAGAGATGTCCTTTTATTTGCAACTGAATGCAGTTTCCAACTGACGTAATAAGTCTGTTAATTTTCATTTTACAGATGTGAAAACAGAGACTTAGACATTTGCTGCTGTTTACCTATGCTATATGAACACTATGGGGTGAAGTTTTTGTTCTGGGATCTGACTGCTTGAGTTCAAATTTTGGGATTGGCTTTGTGACCTCAGTCAACTAATTTAATTTCACTGAGCCATGGTTTTGCCATCTGTGAAATAGAAATAATATTACAACATACATCATTGGCCTCTTACAAGAGCAGTATTCATTAGAAGTGTATCATAGTGCTTTACTTATGGTCCTGGCTCAAGTGATGTTTGGCTTGCTTTTTTTATTGTCATAACTTTGAATTTGAAGTTGTATTTGGTCATTTTGTTTTGAAAATTTCCTAAGTGCTTCACCTAAACTTGATTTGCTCTGTTTAAAACCTCCCCTCTTTGGTATGCAAAACAATTTTAAAATATAAATTATTAAATGATTTCCTGTTAATCTTGATAAGAATTATGTATACATATGTCAGTAATAGCGGAAAACTCCAGTGTAATTTGTGCACCCACAAATTCATGGTAGATGTCACTAGGTATGCCTTCGGAACTTCCAATGAAATAATTATAGTATGAATAGAACATGAATAATAAGTATTTTGCCATGTTATGTCCCAAGACTGAAATTAAATATTTCTAGTTTGGTGTATTTCAAATAGTAGTATTTCTAATTTGCAGATGGTGAACCGAAAAATGAGTATAACTTTCTTGTCACTAAATATGAAAGATATTATTTACTTAAGTCTCACTTTTCTTTTGTAATTCAACTGTTGTTACCACTCAGCCTTGAGGATCACATGATAATGTGTATAATGTACTATTTTAACAGTGTGAAATGACGAGTAATTTAGACTGGTGTCTGCTGGTTACTCTGCTGAGTCTATGCAGAATTTTTGTACATTTATGCTTCTTTCCAGCAGTAAAAATAATGTGACCACTTTGAAAGTCTGTTTAAAAATGTCATTTTGATGTAATGTATTTCCACCCACTTAAATAGCCTAGATTTTGACTGGACATTTTGTTGTAGCCATCCATCAAAAACTCGAAGCGGATGGAACGGAAAAAGTAGAAGGATCCATGACGCAAAAACTGGAGAACGTTCTGAACAGTAAGTTTTGTTCTGCTACCCAAGGCTATTTATGGACTTTATAACAAGCTATAATATAGTTCTTGGATTTGGTTTCACAGAACAAGGCAATAAGTTGCATTTTAGTATTTATTTCTAAATAGTAATGACTTGATGAACATAAAAGGGAATAAAAATATTGAAAATAAATGTCCTGGGTTTTTTTTTTGCATTATATATTTGAAAATAAGCCAATATACTTCTTAATAAGTAAAATTTGCCACCATAAAAGAAGAGAGACCAAGAAAAGCATTGAGGCAGTAACCAGGATTTTTTATTAACCAAAACCCTGAAAAAGCATCTTCAAAAATCTGCCAGTGTTAATGCAAATATTATCAGCTACCAGAATAACAGATGCTTCAGTTGTCACTTGTTTGTTTATACCTGGCCTTTTTCCAAAATGAATTTAAGGCAGCTACATATTTAAGAGTGTTTCTAATTCTGAGACATTTTGTAAAAACTTAGGCCAGAAGAAACTGACACATGCGGAATTTGGAGATCTATCCACTTTATATCTTTTTTGTGACGTACCATCTCTCAGGTACTTACAATACTGATTTGGAAAAAACTCATCAGATGAATCAATTCCTATTATAATATTAGTGGCTTAAAAGTAAACTATCCTCTTTCATGCGTATAGTAAACATTTGGCAAGGAGCAGCAATGCCCAAAGGAATCTCCTTGATTGTTAAAATGAGTATAGTCTGTGATTTTCCCATAGTAGAGTTAAGAATAACTGAAGAAATGAGGAACCATCGCAGCAGAGCAGCAGATCTTTAGTGGCCCTGTGAATGCAGGACTGTGATACCAAGTTAGTTTTTGCACTTCTGGCTTAATTTATTTCTATGAGCACAGTTACTGAGCTTTTTTGTAAATATCTGTTCATAAATCTGGGGATCTCTGATAAGAAAGTATTTTCTAGAAGGAAGCTTTAATTTGACATAGACTTTCCTTGGTAGTAGAATTTGGTACTTAGATTTTCTCCTCAATTTATGAGTTTAACAGTGCTTTAAATATTTTTCCTTCTGGTGGTGGTGGTTATTTTGCCTTGAGATTTTGCCTTGTTTTTGTCTGAGAACCATGTCACCAACTTGGCTGAAATGAATATATTCTGAATTCAGCCCAAATAAACATTTACTGAAGCTATTTCTATATTACCATAATCAGACATATTAAGGCCTTGGAAGGATGTTGTTTTCACTATAGAAATTGTCATTAAACCAAGATATATATATTTTAAAGTGAGATTATTGCCTTAGCTGGTTTGCTCAGTGGTTAGAGTGTCAGCGGACTGAAGGGTTGGGTTTGATTCCGGCCAGGGGCAGGTTCCCTGTGCCCAGCTGGGGCATGTGCAGGAGGCAACCAATCAGTCTGTCTCTCTCTGTCATCGATATTTCTCTCTCCCCCTCCCACTCTCTAAAAAGCAACGGGAAAAATATCCTCTGGTGAGGATTAAAAAATGATACTATTTCATTAACTTTTCAAATTTGTAAGGACAAGTGTATATAGTAAGTATATCATTGTTATCAGTAAAAGAAAATAGATACTTGTTAAGGTTTTGAAAAAATTAAGATCCATTTCAAGTGTTAGGTTTAGCAGAGTGTGTTAACATAATCTTTTTCTTTTATGAACTGTTTAGGGCATCCTCCCTTCGGACTTGTGGTATAAAATTTGTAAGGGAAATCATTATAACCACAAACCTTTTCTAGAAATGTGTCATCTATTTCTATTGAAGTTTATTCTTTTTGAGTGAAGTTGTGCTTAGCATAAGTGGTTACTTCTTTATGAGACTCTCCTTCAAGACTTCCTGGTATAATTTTTTTCTTAAAATGTATTCCTTTATAGCAGTACCTTTTTTCTAGGAACATTTTTATCAACTTGCTGTTGATGTTTACTACCTTATGATAAAGTTTTGCTAATTCAATTTGACCAACATTTATTTAGGACCGGTTGTGTAGATGTACCCTGCTCAGTCCAGTGTGGGGTGCTCAGCTCTGTGAGCATGTCCTCACCCACAGGTGTGTCACAGTTACCCAGGACTTCAGAAGCTGTGTAACTGGGGAACCAGAAGAGCAGCTATAGAAGTACTATGGAAAATTTAATTTCTTTTCTTTTGGAAAGGAGGGAAGAATTGATGAGTGTGAATATAGTTTAGTTAGCTTAGATTATTATTAATGCTTTAATTTTGTGTATAATTATATACTAACTTATATACATTTTTCTTGAGTTATTTTAAATGAAAGTTTTTAAAATTTGGGCAACCTTTCTCACTATAAATTAAATTTTAATGGATAATGTTAACTATAAGAACCTTAGTCCATTTTATTCAGAATTTATCAGTGCTAAAGCCTTTCATTGAAATTCTTTTGTTTTCATTGATGTGTTTCTCAGATTTGCCTTTAACTTAGTAATTTCTTCCTGATTTCAAGCAACTGATGAAGTGATGACTATTATTTATATCAAACTCACATATCCAACTCTATTTTCTTACCTATTGCAAGAGCATAGGACAGCATTGTCCAATAGAACCTCTGCAGTGATGGAAATGTAGCTACTGAGAACTTAAAATGTAGCTATATTGCTGAGGAATTGCATTTTTAATTTTTATTAACTTTAATTAATTTAAATTGATTGAAATAGCCCCAGGTGGCTACTAGCTACCTTATTAGACAATGCGAGTATGGACAGTATAACATAAGTATTTTAGTAGCAGCTGTGGTAGTAAGAGCGAAAACATTTGCAGTGCTCCATAAGGGTTAGAGACATTCCATATATATTTAGTCCTTACAATAACTGAGGTTTGTACTGTTATTTCCCTTATATTGATGAAAAAACTGAAGCCCAGAAAGATCAGTTGAGTTACCTAATGTCTTATAAGTAGTGAGTGGTAGAGTTGGGATTTATGTCTAGAAATCTGGCTTCAAATTTGTACTTTAAACTATAGATTGACCTTGCTGTGAATGGTTTTAATATACATGAATTTCAGTTACCACTGTCCAGTTAAATACACCCGTTCCCCCAAAACACCGTTCAGATTTGAGTTGCCACAGTGTATTTGCTATAATTGCATAAAGTGGAAACTCAGATGCTAGCTCTTCAGATGTGCAAGTAATCAGTGACCACCCGTGTGTCGTCCGAGTCCATCGGTGACTGGTCACTGCACGTGTTTCAGTTCACTCACAGATAGCAAAGTGGGCAGTCGTGTGGCCTCCTTGTCTCCCAGAGAGAAACTCACATGAAATTTCACAGAAATGGATAATTAAGAGGGGATTGGCCCACAAAGATGAAAATGCATTAAGAAACAAAAAGTGGTAACTGTAATTAAAATTCAAATCTCACATGACTGGAGTAATAGCAGGAGCTGCTGACAGCGGGGATGGGACACTGCTGCTGTTCGAGGGTCTCAGGCTGTGTAGCCGGAGCAGCTCCATGATGGCGAATTTATTGATGGAAATGAAGGAAGTGTGGGGGAAAGGAAGACGGTGTCCTGCAGGAGGCGAAGCCTAGAGGACGCGCAGATAACCCAGGACGTTGAAAGTGCGAGGGATAAGCTTAGAAAGGGAATGGCAGTGTGTCAGAGCATAGAAAAGGTGCTTGGCACATACAGATTTTACAGTGAAAAAACATGACAAGCAATCTTGATACGTTTTTAAAAAAGAAATAGGACACTTGAATTTTCAGTGTTTCTAATGCTTTAAATAATAGTGTACTAAATAAATAATAGTTTTACTGCATTTTAATATTCTTACTCATTTATAACCCACAGTAAGTTTTTAATATTCAACAGAGTTTTTAAAAGTCAGAACAGTCGTCATTTCCCCATTGATTATGAAGATTACTTCTCAGTTTCAGCTGCACCTTATTTGTATGGTCCTACAAACTACGCAGAGTGAGGCTCTATTGGCCGGGACCACCTTTTAAGTAGAAGGAGTGCTGAGCTTGGGTTCAGAGACAGATTTTTAGTCCTTGCTCTGTAAGCATTTATTGAGCACCTGTTAGTTCTGTCCCAGGGATATGAAGATAAAACTTATGCTTTACTTCTCAGAATGTATCGTCTAATGGAAAATACAGACAAAAAGTAGTGATTAGATTGTGGTGTGATGGTAAATGTTTAACAACTGGTATTTAATAGGAAAAAGAAAACTACCCTAATGGTAGCGTTTCCGATGTGCAGATTCTCCCATCATGGTTGACCTCAAGCTACCAGCCTGACATCACTGAACGGGAGCTGAGAAGAGATGGGACTGATTGGCTCTGATGAGCAGTAGGAACCAACTGCTGCTCTCTTCTCATCCCTAAGATTCCGTTCTGTGTAGTTCATGTGGTGCTGTATAATTCAGCGTAAGGCATGGCTCTGTAAACAAGCTCAGCTATCGGCAGTGACGCTATCCATGTAATACCAGTATGTTACACATGGCAGCCTATCTTTCCATTTTTTGCATTCTGTTTGCAGAAACTGAGACACATACAGTAAGTAGGTTGTTAGGTCTCTTTGTGGCCCTGGTTTTGCTATGAATTTAAGTATACATTTTTAAATTACTTTAAATTACCAGGCACTTTAATGTTTCCTAATCTCATTTAACTTGCCTATTTCTGGAATAAAGTGTATGTTTGTGTGTGTGTGTGGGGGGGGCGGTTCTTCTACCCTCTCCACATCAAGCAGAGACCACAAGTTAAAACTCACTTCTGTGATGTACTGTCTCAGGTGTCAGTGCCATGAAAAGGACCGGTAAGGTCCCTTCGAACTAAGAGAAAGCTTGTTTACTTTAAACAGACATGCTTGAAATTGTAAGACACCATTAGAATTACATGCCTAGTTTGTCTAGATGACAGGAGTTCCTGGCACAATTAAAATGTTTTTTCATTGTTAAAGATATAAAGTGAACGGGAAGGAGTGCGTTTGGTCAGTGTGCACTGCTGCAGTGACTCTTCCCATCTTCCCCCAGCCTGTTGAGCTGTAATTGACATGTAACATTGTGTACAACATGCTGATTTGCTGCACTTGTATATTGCAGTCTGATTACCACCTTAGCTTTAGCTAGCACCTCCAGCAGGTCACAGAATTCTGATCCTTTTTTTTGGTGAGAACATTTGAGATTTGCTCTTCGCAGCTTTCAAGTGTATAATACAGTATTATTAACTAGATCCCAGAATTTCCTCATCTTCTTACTGGAAGTTTGGACGTACTTTGGTCAACACCTCTCCACTTCCCCCCTTCCCCTCAGCCCCTGGGAATCACCGTTCTGCTCTCTGTTTCTGAGTTCACCTATCTTAGAGTCTGTATGTAAGTGACACCAGGCAGTATTTGTCTCTCTCTGTCTGACTAGTTCACTCGCATAACGTCCTCGCATTCCATCCATGTTGTCCCATCGCACGCTGAGGAAAATTTTATTGTTCAGTCAGCCCGATTATAACAGTCGCAGCCACAGTGTAATTATAGCCTCATTGCTGTTAGTGTTCGGGGTACATCTGTAACTGAGATGGTGACAGTCATTCCCCAGTGAGCTGGTGTTGAGAAAGGACCAATTTTCAGGTCTAGACTTGCCCAGGGCTGGTAGTTGTAAGATCAGGATTTGTTCTGCCAACTGCAAGACCCATGTTACGGTTTTCACGGCCATGTCATTCAGTAGTTTCATTTTCTTTCTTTTTTAAAAAAAATTTAATTTATTGGGGTAACATTGATTAATAACATTATGTTAATGTCCAGTCTACAACTTTACAATGCAACATTGCGTGCTTCCCACTCAGTTTCATTTTCTTATTGGTGGTTCTGGAGGATATAGACATAAAATGCACTTTGTGAACTCCTGGTAATTTTTATCTGTTTGTACAAATCTTGGTTCCACTGCTATCATTTACTGTATTACTGGATATAATTGTCTAGTTATCAAAGAGTTATGAACTCCCAAAATTTTATTGTGAATGCAGTAAAATTCATAACAGAATAATAATTTATGGACAGAAATTATATATAAATTAAGATTATAATTTATAATTCCCGTCTGCATGACTTAAAATTATATATACATACATTTCTCTCTAAAAATTATAATTTCTGCCTACAAATTCTTCTCTATAAAATGTTTATGTTTTATTTAACTATAAGTGGATTTTTCTACCTGTATTTGGTTTTCATACTTTTTAGAGGAGTTAAAATTGTTAGTTGGTGTTCTCTATTATCTTTAAAATAAGATGAGAAAAATCTAATTTTGAACTCTCATACGTTTTGCTCTAAATTCCTTCATTGTATATAAAAGAAGTGCTTAGGGATTTAGTATCCACAGCTCAGACATAAGTCATCATCCTTTTAAAAATATCTAATCTCTTTCACCTATCTATTCATTTATTAAGCCTCAATTCATGAAGTTTATATTTTTACATGATAAACAAATACTAATAATTTTCTTTGAAGAAAAAAGTTTAAACTCTAATCAGATTTGCAGTACTCATTTCGTCTCCATTGTGTGGTTTGGAGGCAAGAAGAGAGTGTGCTTTTCTCATCTTAGAGCAGAAAGTTAGTATTCCACATGAAATAGAATGTGATGAAAGCAGCTATTTTGACAAAACAAAGTTTTTATATCAGGCTTTTAAAATTTCAACAGAATTTAAACAATATTTAGATTAAACAATTATGTTACAAAGCTGACTTTTAACAGGATCAGCCCACCCACAGTGTGGAGAGGAGAATACGGCATGCAAGCCACCCAGTGAGGCCGAGGCAATTTTTTCATTTTGCTTAAAGTACAGTCACTAGACCAGATAATGTAGAAACTTTTTATGTACAGTGATCAAACAGCTGAAAACACTTTATTCTTTTTCTCCCCTTGTGGCTAATTAAAAATAATTCATAAGTTGAAAAAGTTGAACTATTTTTGAACACAGTAAATTTCACTTTAGATAAAGCAACTCTTTCATTACAGTGATTCATATAGTTTGAGGTCTTTTAGGTTAAAAAAATATATAAAATGTCCAGTTTGTGTATAACATTATAAGAATTAGCCGATTTAAGAAATATTCATTAGTGATACGTTGAAGTTTGTCATTTTAATGCTTATGTAATTTTTTGTGCCTGCTACACAAAGAGATAATTTTACCAAGAAATAGGACTTGTTCTAAAATACTTCTTTTGAGCAACTTTTCTGAAAAATATTTTTCTTGTTTTGTGTATTACCACATATGTAGATATTGAATCCAGGGAATTTAAACTAGTGTATGTGCCTGTGCACATGTGTATATGTGTGTGTTTTGACCTATTGTCTGAATTAATGAAGTAACCGAGGGGCCCATAGTTGCTATAAAATTCAGAAGAGTGACTAAAATAAATGTAGATTCACATTAGAGAATTTATGTGGACCTGGTAAATATGCTTATTTTTAATTGGATACCATTCTTAACAGAAGAAAAGACTTAGCAGGCAAAATGGAAATTGTGTGTTAGCACAGCATGAAAGATTCCCCTTACAGCTAACTTTTGAAAAAGTTTGTTGAGTTTTAGTGTAAAGCTGCAATAGCAGTCTCACATTTTAGATTTTTTGGTCTGAATAAAATCAATTTTTACCTAAGTTTTTTTTCTTTTAAAATAGGAGCAAGTAACACTGCAGATACATTATTTCAAGAAGTATTAGGTCGAAAGGACAAGGCAGATTCCACTAGAAACGCACTCAACGTGCTCCAGCGATTTAAGTTTCTTTTTAACCTTCCTCTAAATATCGAAAGGAACATTCAAAAGGTAGAGTACATATTTATATACCTATGGTTATAGATGTCATGAATTTTAAAGAGTTGTTAAGATGTTTTTTATCTTAACCATATGTCTTCATTGTACTTTACTGACAGTCTCCAAAATATTTTTTTTCTTTTAAAGGGTGATTATGATGTGGTTATTAATGATTATGAAAAGGCCAAGTCACTCTTTGGGAAGACGGAGGTGCAAGTTTTCAAGAAATGTAAGACTTGTTTATTGCTTTTAGATCTTCTCCTTTCCTTTTACAGGAAGAATGTGGGATGTATTCTGCAAAGAATGTTACATCCCTTTTAGTTTTTGTTTATATGGTGCTCTTTTTAAAATGTAAAACAGTTACCTCAAAAATAACATATGGCTTTTCTTACTAAGATGTAGTGAAAATGAACAACCACAGCTATAGGATTGGTTAGGCTTAGAGACTCTTTGCCACTTACTAACCATGATATTATTTAAAATCTTTTTCATTGGAAAGAATCAATTATAGATATTTTGTAGAGATGGAAACCTACATTTTAATCTTCCTTCTTCAGAAAACTTTATATATTTAATGAATTCTAACCCTACATTAAAGTAAACTAAACAACTTTTGAAATGAGTTCTAATGCCAGGTACAGAAAATAAGACAATAAGAAAAGTCTAAAATGCACTATGGTAATGCTTTATCAGCTAGGAGAAATATCACAGTGCTTTATTAACTTTCTAAGTCCCAACTCCATAAGGACTCAGAAAACTTGATTTTGTTTTTTATTGTAGTTAATTTACCTTTAGTGAAATGCACAAATGCACACACCTCTGTAACCCACACCCAGATAGAATGTTCTCATCTCTCCAGAAAGTTCCCTTGAGCCTCTTAGTCCACCACTCCTCAGGCAACTGCTGTTCTGCTTTCCATAATTCGATCTTAAATTTCCACTCTGTAAATCTTGTATATTTGTTTCTTTTTAAAAATAGATTATGCTGAAGTAGAAACACGGATTGAAGCTTTAAGAGAATTACTTCTGGATAAGTTGCTTGAGACACCATCAACCTTACATGACCAAAAACGTTATATAAGGTAAACCTTCTGCAAAAATTTTCGCAAATCACATATATCTATATAGTACTGGATACTTCATCTAACTCTTAAAGCTAATTTGGGGAAGTTAGGAGATTGATGAAATAGTGAAAGGGAATACACAGGAATTCCTGGTGCAGGACACTTGAACTCTTGTGTATATTAATATATTTGCAAGTACTCTTTAAGGGCAGGATAATCCTGCCTATTTGGGGAAAGGAAAAGTAGCCTCTTTGCTTAGTGACTCTTCCTCCTGCTTGACAAGGGCTTCCCTAACCTAGTGGATGGCGTGGGTGTTGCACCCTGTGGGCACCCACCGGCAGCAGAGCAGGAGGACCTCCCTTACGGTTTAAAGCAGGGGTGGGGAACGTCTGGCCTGTGGGCCGTATTTGCTCTGGCCCTGCCAAGACAACTGCAGACAGGACTCGAAATTCAATAAATCTAGGGGCTTTTTTCATAGCTAATTTTTAAGTTGATAATTTTGTATGTTAAATTCAAATGGCCCTTCACAGAAAAATGGTTCCCCACCCCTGGTTTAAGAGTGTATCATTGTCACACACTATGTGGGAAATTCTTCATGCCACAAGAGTGGGTCATGGCTCAGCGGTAGAGAAAATTCTGAAAGGTTTTAGTCTTGAAAAGAAAGTAATAATGAAAGTGATGGACATCACAGGGTATGACGAGAAGGCCATAGATAGAAGCAGTGTAGCCCAACGGGAACTAGCTGTTCACTTCAGGTGACTTGAGTTTCCTTTTACAGTTTATTCATCTCTGAAATGGACATGCTAACACAGTCTGTCTCAGGGTAGTTGCAGAGATAATCAAGGATACATTGAAGAATTTAATATAGCACCAGGCACATACTAAGTAGTAAGTTACAGATAGGTAGGTAGGTAGGTAGGTAGGTAGATAGGTAGATAGGTAGATAGGTAGATAGGTAGATAGGTAGATAGGTAGATGATAGATAGATAGATAGATAGATAGATAGATAGATAGATAGATAGATAGATAGATGATAGATAGATGATAGATAGATAGATGATAGGTAGGTAGGTAGGTAGATAGGTAGATAGGTAGATAGGTAGATAGATAGATAGGTAGGTAGATAGGTAGATAGATGATAGATAGATAGATAGGTAGGTAGATAGGTAGATGATAGATAGATAGGTAGATAGGTAGATAGATGATAGGTAGGTAGATAGGTAGGTAGATAGGTAGGTAGATGATAGGTAGGTAGATAGGTAGATAGGTAGATAGATGATAGATAGGTAGATAGGTAGATGATAGATAGATAGATAGATAGATAGATAGATAGATAGATAGATAGATAGATGATAGATAGATGATAGATAGATAGATGATAGGTAGGTAGGTAGGTAGATAGGTAGATAGGTAGATAGGTAGATAGATAGATAGGTAGGTAGATAGGTAGATAGATGATAGATAGATAGATAGGTAGATAGATGATAGATAGGTAGGTAGATAGGTAGGTAGATGATAGGTAGGTAGATAGGTAGATAGGTAGATAGATGATAGATAGGTAGATAGGTAGATGATAGATAGATAGATAGATAGATAGATAGATAGATAGATAGATAGATAGATGATAGATGGTGTTTATATCAGGATTTGGAGACAAAGCACATAAATTTAAGCTGTTATATCTATGATTTAAAAATGTTAACTTTATTTTCTGTTGTCATATTTTGAATGTGACCTTTGTTCTCAGAATAAGCTATTATTTTTCAGACCTAATACCCTGTCTCTTTAATTAGTGAAGTTTGTTGACTATTAGGTAGTTGTAAAATGATAACAGACTACATATACTTATGCATTTGGCTTTTGTTACTATGTGACCATTGAAAATAATTCCCAAGTATGGAAAGAGGGTCTGGTGTGAAAGCTGCTGCTTTGCTTGCACTTGTGGACGAACAGGGCCCACATGCAGTCCTGTTCCTAGTGATGCTGGAGCACGAGCCATTGGCATTGTCAGCATGTTCGTGTTGCCTATCAGGAAAGGGAGAGGAGGCTTTCGCAGTGGAGTAGAGAATGCCGAAATTGATTGCTGCCACTACCCCTTGCCTGCAGTGCGCCCGGCCACCATGCGCACCGTGCTGGATGTGCTGTTTATCATTTCTGAGCCTCCCAGCCACCATGTGGGGTGTTTGTATTATTCCGGGTATACTGGTGAGGAGACTGAGCCTCATATAGTTGTGGTTGGGGGAAAAGAAACATTGATGTGAGAGAAACATCAATCAGTTGCCTTCCGTATGTATGCCTCTGACCAGGGATTGAACCCATAATTTAGGTATGTGCTCTGACCCGGAATCAAACCTGCAACCTTTTTGTGTATGGGACAACACTCTAACCAACTGAGCCCCCGGCCAGGGCACCTCAGATTTTATTGTGTGTTCAGCACACACAGCTAGTAGTAGGATTCCTGTTTGTCTACTTTCAGAGCCTGTCTTTGCTTTTCTCTAAGCTACCTTCATAAGAAAGAATGTATTTGAAGATTTTTCTGGTTTGTAGAAATAAACTATGTGTTAGTTATCCAAGTGCTTTTTTTTACCCATATAAAAAAACAGAGTTTCAGGAAAGTTAATTGTCTTATCTGTGATACAGTTGGTTAGTGCTTTGTCTGTGTTCTCTAATTATGCTTTGTATTTATTTTACTGTTGACATTTATTCTATTAAATTTGCTGATAGTAATGAGTTAAATCGTATTGAGTGTATGAATTACATTATGTAGTGAGTTACTGAAGTGTGGTTCACTTATCTTATATAGATAACTGAAGTGTGGTTCTTATGACTGGTTAACCTACTGGGTAGCATTTAAAAGATGGTAGATATTTAAAAACAGTCTTCTAAATGGCCTATTTAAATGCTTTTATCCTGTTATTTTAAAGGAAAAAGAACAAGAATGTCAATAACAATGTCCATTAGTTCATTTATTTTTAATCTTTATTTTTGATGCTATGAGAAGACATTGAGCAATTCTGTTATTCTTTTGAAATTAAGTTTTTTATTAATAAATAGAAAAAATAACATCACAACCAGGTCAGCTATCTGTTGGACTTTGGAATCTATGAGACAGGTACTGTGAGTCCCTCATGGGAACAGCGACAGCTTTATCACCAACAAACACACGTCTGTTGGTTCTCTTACACAACTGAAGTTATGCTTGGTATGCGTGAACTCAGATTACCGCGGTATTGTCTTACTCTTGTTCTCTGTGTTATCTAATTAGAAACATTCCGATTATTTTTACTCTCCTTATTCTGTCTTGATCTTCATTTTTTCTAGCAAGAAGCAAAGTTTCATATATGTCTTCCCATGTCACTGTGACCCTGTTCCTGGCACTTACTAAAAATCATGTCAGAATAGGACTAAAAACTTTGCTTCTTAAATTTTAAAATATTGATCCTATGCTCATCATCAACATATTTTAACTTTTTTTCCCCTCAAAAAAAGTCTTTTACAAAGTGTTCTTTAATACACAGCTTTCAAAGAAATGGTAACAATATGTGTCATATTCTAAACAAATATTTTCGAAATGAAACTAGTACTTATTTTTAAGCTACTTACTAAAAGAAAAGAAGAAAGTTATTGGATTACATCATTTAACCAAGGAAGAGTGTAGCACAGGTTGTACTTTTAAACTGAACACTAGAATTTCTGAGAGAACATGTTTATCTTTCTTTATAAAACTTTCAATGTAATACCCATTAATAAGACAATAGAAAGAGGATTATTATTAAATTTTGTAAGCACCTAGTCACCGTATTAAAGAGACTTACAATTTTAAAAGTTACTAAGCAAAAAATGCTTATTGATTTCTCTTGCTCAAGAAAGAGTCCTTTTAATAGATCATCTGTGTTCCTAATTCCGTAGTTTAAAATTAAAAGGAGCCCTAGCTGGTTTGACTCAGTGGTTAGAGCGTCAGCCTGAGGACTAAGGGTCTCAGGTTCGATTCCGTCAAGGGCACTTAATTCAGTTGCAGGTGGGAATTGGTTTGGGAGGCAACCAATCGATGTTTCTCTCTCTTTCTTCCATCCTCTCTGAAAAGTAATGGAAAAAATATCCTTGGGTGAGGGTTAAAAGAATAAGTAAAAAATTTAAGGGAAGCGGCTTTCCTAAAAGGATATTCCTATATTTTGCAGCTAATACAAAGCTGAGGTGGTTATATGAGCAAAAGTGTTAGGAGAAAGTGTTGCAGAAGTATTTGGAGGCAAAACAAACCTATCTAAGGAGAATGTGAAGACAAGGTCTCCTTAGCAAGAAAGAATAAAATCACGTTTTTTGGACAAATGGCACAACATCCTAATTGTCATATTTATATTCCAGTCAATAAAAGAGGAAAGCCGTATGAGAGAGGGAGAATCTGACTGGGTTTTGAAAGCTTTGAAATGAATTATTTATGCCTCGCTGAATGTAATTTGTTAGACTGTAGTTTTCTTGTAGGGATGCTATTCACTGACTTTTCACTTACTTGTACAGACACAGCCTATTTGTGGACTGTAAATAGAGAGTCACATAGAGGAGTTGAAGGGACAGCTCTCAGGCTGTCTCTGGGGCAGCCTCTGCGGTGTGAGCCAAGCTGTTTAATGGGCTCTTTTGCAGGACAAAGAAATGCCCAGCTCTTCTCAGAAACCAGCCCTCTCCTTAGCCTGGAGGGGCAGGGGCAGGGGCATGGTTCCTAATGTGATGTCAGATTTCTTCTTAATATCTTACTCATTGCTCACCTACTACTCAGCGTTTCTCCTCTGATTAGCTGCACGTTGGGCTGTCTGAGTAAGGAGAGAGGCATCGGGTGATCTGAGTTTTTAAGATTTGGCTAGAGGTCACAGCTTGTAACCATTAATTAAAGTGTCATCAAACAAAAGTCTTTAACCTCAAGACAACAGACAGCTTATGGTGTAAGAGTAATTTTAAGACGATAAATTCAGCTTTTGGAGTTGATTTAATTAGATTTAACTTGTTATATTTATATATTTTGTGAGAGCAGAGTGCCAAATCTTGAATGATACTTGGCAGAAATCTGTCAACTGAAATCTTTCACTTGTCTATCTGGGTTTGGATATTTTAGGTACAAAGAAGGCTTTAAATATTTTAAGAACTACATTAAATCTATGAAAAATGCCCATCTATGCTATATTCTAAAGAAATATTTTCTCAATCATGGATTAGGATTTAGACTTGAGAGAGGTGCTTGTCACCAAGTCTCTTTCTGTAATGAAATGGCTTTAAGTTTCAGTTAACCCTTTTTTAGACTGTCTAGAGAACAGTGCCATCTAGTGACCATGTTTCAGACCAGAGAGGAATAAAAACCAACTGAAATGGAAAAAATATTCCCTGGGTGTCCTCTGCTGGCTCCCACCTGTGCTTTATAGAAAGCCAGGACTGAGGAGCAGCACTCTGGGAAGTGAGTGTAAATACGTACAAAGGGAAGTTCTCGCTGAGTGTATTGGATTATCGCAAGCAGTCTTTGTCTTCTCTGTTGTCATTTTATAAATCCTAGTTTTATAAAATACAATTTTATTGTTACTTGTTAACTTCTTGGAAAAATTTGAATCCCTTTCATTTAGAACTAAATATTAGAGACTAATACTAACAACTGCTTAAAATTTTAGCTGATAAAATTTTAGGTTTTCTAAAAAAAGTGATTTTTTTGAAATATGCTCGCTTTCCTTTTACCCTTGTTCATGGCTGTGTCGAGGATGCCCACTCGGGCATCCTCGGCCTTTCTTTTTCAGGTACCTGTCTGACCTCCACGCCCCAGGTGACCCTGCGTGGCAGTGTATCGGAGCTCAACACAGATGGATCCTGCAGCTCATGCACGGCTGCAGAGAGGGCTATATACAAGACCTGAAAGGCAAGGCTGCACTCTTCCCATGCGTGCGCCCGTCACCCGTCACTGTAACACTTGATGAGTAAAGGAATGAGTAGATACCTTTCTTGATACCTCTATCTGTGGGGTTTTTGTTTTGTTTTTTTTGCCCCTGGTTAGCATTATACCTGAATAAGAGAACAGAAAGTTCTTTAAATATGCCTGTTGTTATGGTCAACGGGCAGTATTGACAAAGATTTAGTTAGGGGACAGTTAAACTTTTGTGAGAAGCAACATGGTGTTAGAAATTGTATTAGTTGTTGATGAAAGCTAATAGTCCACTTGTTATTTTTTTGAATATATGTTGAGTCCTGCTGTGTACCAGGCTCTACGCTAAGCACAGATAGATAGTCGCCATTATCTGTAAAACAGACATGGTCCCTGCCCACGTGGAATTAAACATGTCACTAACCAAATCCAAAGGTTAGCTAAGTAATATGAAGAAAAGTAACGGCGTCATGAGGGAGGAGAACCGAGGAGTGTGCGTTAGATGGCTGGGGTGGGAGGGTGTCTCAGAGCAGGCTCCATGCTGGGTAAGAGCCAGGAGGATGTGCAGTAGCTGCTGCCCCCCCCCCC